CTTTCATAATAAGGAGGGAAAGCTCACAAAATATTAGGTATTCCCATTCAAAAACGTGTAGACATACATATGGAGGAACAGCAGGAAAGCAAAGGGGCTAGGGCTGCGGGATCAAGTCGCTCGGAAGCTGGCACCTTCAGCTACGTATACGTATAATTGGCTAACTTATCCCCAGAAGAAAACCTCGAGAAACTGAAAAGAAACCCGTGTGTTTAAAGGCCGGATTATGGAATCAGGCGTCATAGGAGGAAAGTGCGCTGCTCAATTTTATCCTGTACCGGGACAATAGCTGCGTATAACGGTGTTCTCGAAACAGAATTCGGAAAATTTGGCTCAGAAGTACAAAGACGGAAGAACGAAAACAAGATATGGAGGAGGCGGTTCGCATAATGTTAATTTTGCACAAGAGAAGCGGGTGAATGAATTCAAATGCCGAAAGTCTGATCACAGAGGATAGACTGTGGTCGAGCACCCCCGGGAGACTGAAACTGCTACTGGAACCGCTGCACGAGCGATATCCAGAAAAATTGTGGGTGTCAAGGAAGTGTGTTAGGGTAACTCATCTTTTTTTGTAGAAGCACGAACGCATAACTGGCAACAATTGTTCCCCACCTAAGACGTTCATTCACCACTCCGTAAACGCATCGTGGCCCTAGACGGAATTTGGATAGTCTTGAATTCAGAGCCGAAACTCACAAGCGTCAGTATAAATGCAGATGAGAAGTTGCTTCAATTCAGTTATGAGGAGCTACTTAGGCCCGAAAAGATGATCATCATGGCAATGGACTTTTGCACTGTGACCTTCATGTGGTTCTGTACAGAGAACAAAACCGTCACTGTCGGTGCATATTGCCTGTTCCTCGGACATTCAGATCGACAAATGGATGGTACCACACAACTACAAGAAGGCCACCGTTGCTCGTCATAGTGCCGGGCCCCGAGTGACCGCACTGTTGGACAGCGCTGGGACACAAACAATACTGCGACTGGGTTCAATCGCCTTACACGTCCGTCCAGAGGCAAATGCTACCACAATTTCTCGATCGCGGAAACTGGCATCAACACATTTTATTCGCACGTGTTGAAAAAAAGAAGACGCTAGGTGTCTAAGCGCTTCCTGGACACTAGTAGCAGGTCATTGATGGCGGAATTGATCCCTCGACTTGAAGCCAACAAATCACTTTTTATCTGATGTCCTCTTCGTTTTATTTGAATGAAACCTTTCACTTTATGAATGAGAAGACCTTATAAATTCACAAAATAAACCAAGTGAGGTTCCTAAGAGTGCAAACCCACAATCATCTGGTTTTGGCACGTACTGCGCAAGAATGTCAACATGGCGCTTGACTGATGCCAAAGCCGTGGCCCCCACGTTTGCCATCAGATCGTAGATTGCCGTCATTCCAGCATCTTCATTGAGAAGTACTCCTGCTCCGAGCGAAGCTGTCAAGCCCATAGTCTGAAAGTAAACGATACTGTCGAACACAGCCAGAAATTTTCGTAACGTCAGTACTGACCTGCGGTTTCGGCCCTTGATAGTCATGTATTGTTTGCATGAGAATGTTATAAGGATGTTCCTT